AGGGAAAATATAACTAGCAAAACATTATTGGTCTCTTCAACGAGTGGTACTGGGAAAGCTGGACAGCCACATGTAAAACAAGTAGATTAGAACATTCCCTCATACCAGATAGAAAAACTCAAGTTGTAAATGTAGGGACTTCCCTGGTGGTGCAGTGGTTAAGAATCCGCCTGCCAGTGCAGGGGACATGGGTTCAGTCCCTGGTCTGAGAAGGTCCCACATGCCGTGGAGCAACTAGGCCTGTGCGCCACAACTACTGAGCCTGTGCTCTAGAGTCTGTGAGTGAGCCACAACTACTGAGCCCACATGCTGCAACCACTGAAGCCCACGCACCTAGAGCCCGTGCTCTGCAGCAAGAGAAGCCACTGCAATGAGAAGCCTGTGCACTGCAGTGAAGAGTAGTCCCCGCTTGCCACAACTAGAGAAAGCCCGCACACAGCAACGAAGACCCAACACAGCCAAAAAAAAAAAAAAAAAGTTTTCAGGGACTTCCCGGGTGGCGCAGTGGTTAAGAATCTGCCTGCCAATGCAGGGGACACGGGTTTGATCACTGGTCCGGGAAGATCCCACATGCCGTGGAGCAACTAAGCCCGTGAGCCACAACTACTGAAGCCCACATACCCCAGACAATGAAGCCCGGGTGCCCTAGTGCCCATGCTCTGCAACAAGAGAAGCCACCACAATGAGAAGCCGCACACCTCAACGAAGAGTAGCCTCTGCTCACCGCAACTAGAGAAAGCCCGTGCACAGCAAAGAAGACCCAACGCAGCCAAAAAATAAATAAATTTTTAAAAATTATATAATGTGGATCCCACATTAACGGATCAAGTACTCTATAAGTCCTTATAGAGTGATATTAGCTGAGACCCTATGGGCAGGAAAGGCAAACCTATACTCAGAGTAAGTGTCAATCCCAGTCAAAAGTGATGGGGAATTTAGTGTCCTTGTCCCTAAGTGTCTGCTTCCTCTCCTCGAGAGATAGCACTGTATTAGGGACTTAGTGTTGGTATTTGTTAATGGCAGATTGCACGTTGGCCACAGCAGTGGTTAACTGAGCCGTGGTGAGTAGGAGCTCACACTGTTGGACCTGTGCATAGCCTGTATCCTACCACCAGTTACTCTACTCAGTGTATTCATTGTTCAGAAGTGGGTGGCTGATGACAGGCAGTGGCTAAGTCATTCTTCCTACTTGGTTGTTCAGTGCATCTGTGATGGATGCTTTCTGGTGGGCGTTAACGTATAATACAAAGACCTTTACACTTCAAGACTACTCCCATAGGTCCATCCTCAGACTTTCTTGTCCCTGATCTTCCACTCTGTCTTTTCAAGCGCCTGACCAAACCACCAGGCCAGTTGTGACTGTGTATGTTCTTAGCTTCTCTTTCCACGCAGAGTGGATGACCAGACGTACTGTCCAAATCTCTGTCCCCTGGGAGGATTTCCGCTCACCACTGTCTTTCAAGGCCACTCTTGATTTGTTGCAATGCGGCAGCAGTCAATTTTTGGCTTTTGCCCACAAACTGCCAACTCATGTCTGAACCAAGCTTATTCCTTCTCTGATCCCTCTTCACAAGGGATACATGTCATAGACTGAATGTGCCCCCCCTACCCATTTCATATGTTGAAACCTAACCCCCAATGTGATGGTATTTGGAGGTGGGGCCTTTGGGAAGTGATTAGGTTATGAAGGTAGAGCCCTCATGAATCAGATTAGTGCCCTTATAGAAGAGACCCCAGAGAGCTTCCCTGCTCCTTCTGCCACCTCAGGACACAGTGAGAAGACAGCTGTCTATGAACCAGAAAGTGGGCCCTCGCCAGACCCCGAATCTGCTGGCACCTTGATCTTGGAATCAGCAGCTTATAGAGCTGTGAGAGATCAATTTCTGTTGTTTATAAGCCACCCAGTCTATGGTGTTTTGTTATAGCAGCCTGAATGGACTAAGACAATCCCCAATAGGGTCATGTGAGCTGAGGGAGAGATACCTGGTAAATGACATGAGTCTGGGCCACTTACTTTTCAGCTGGCTTGTGCCCTCTGATCCTGCTTATGCCTGAACCCAAAGATGTCACTTCCATTTTACAATGTGTTCTTGCTGGGCCCACCCTTCCTAATGACATGGAGAATTAGGCAGAGCCCAGCTTGTGATGGGCAGTTCTGGCTACTTGGTCACTTGATGAATTGTAATCAGATGCTCTGTCTCTATTGGAGCCCAGTAGCACTGTAAGAGCTGCTTTTCAAAAGGTATGTATATCTCTGCTGCAGATGGCATGGCTTTGCTCCAGAGCCCTGTGGGTCTACATTATGATTCTCCTATTAGAGCTTGCCAAACCACACACGGTATCTTTTCCTACTACAGATACTCTAGTCTCACTGGGTCTGCTGGGTCACATGTCTGCAGAGGCCTTTTCTGCTTTGGCCCCACTCGAAGTTGACAGCCTTCAATGGTCAGAGTTGTATTCTCAAGTGTGAAATACGTCGCTCCCAAATCCTAAGTAGATTGGTGATGTGTTTTTTTCTCAGTGGTGGAAGGTAGGAGATGCAATAATCAGTCCTTTACTTCAGATTGGATATCCAGCATGTCCCAGACCACTGGACCTCTCAAAACTTTACCAAGGTGGCAGTTTCCTGAACCTTTATAGGATTGTTTCCCACCTTCTGAATACATGTTATCTTTCCAGGCCCTCCAATATACTTCCATTTCTTCCTCTTCTTATCTGATTGGCATGATGTTATATATAGAGCTGACTCTTGCACAACGCAGAGGTTAGGGCCTCTGACCATCTGCCCAGTCAAAAATCCAAGTCCCCTCCAGGGACTTCCCTGGAGGTCCAGTGGTTAAGACTTCGCCTTAACCACTGGAGGGGGTGCGGGTTCGATCCCTGGTCAGGGAGCTAAGATCCCACATGTCTCGCAGATCCAAAAAAAAAAAAAATCCAAGTATAACTTTACAGTTAGCTCTCTGTATATGTGGTTCTGCATCTTCGCATTCAACCAACTGTAGATCGTGTAGTACTGTAATACATATTTAATGAAAAAAATCCACATGTAAGTGGACCTGAGGAGTACAAACCTGTGTTGTTCAAGGGTCCGTTGTATAGTGGACAAATATGATGTTCTTCAAAATGTCCAGATAGTCAAGCTCCCTTCAGATTATATTATGACAGAGGACCAGAGAGTTTACATAGTCCTGGGGTAAGACCATAAGTGTTTATCGCTAGACTTCCCACGTGGATGAAATTCCTTGGGATCCTCCTTTCTGATCTGGTTGGGATGCAAAATAACATATTCACCAGATTAATGGCTACATACTACCAACCAGAGGCTGTATTAAACTGCTCTATAAAGTTACCATTTGGGACACAACAATTGCAATTGGAGTTACTATTTGAATAATTTTACCGTAGACCACTGCCATCTGCCATGATCTATCTGGTTTTTGTAGGAGCCAAACTGGTGGTATGAAAGGGACCACCTCTCTTATGTTCTTTACATCTTTGAGGGTGGCACTAATCTCTTCCATTTACCCTAGGATATGGTATTGTTTTTATTTATTATCTTGGTGTGAGGTAGTCTCAGCCCTCTAATTGGCCTTCATCACTTACTCCACAGGTCAAGAAACCAATATGAGTGTTCTGCAACTTCAAAGAATGTCCATTTCAATTATATGTTGGGGTGTCAAGGAAGTGACCACCTGGTGGATCCTTGGTCTCAGTGAATATCCTGTGAACCAGACCTGAGCCCAGGACTCCATTTATTTATTTATTTATTTATTTATTTTTATTATTTTTTGCGGTGCGCGGTCCTCTCACTGCTGTGGCCTCTCCCGTTGCAGCTCCGGACGCGCAGGCTCAGCGGCCATGGCTCACAGGACCAGCTGCTCCGCGGCATGTGGGATCTTCCCAGACTGGGGCACGAACCCGTGTCCCCTGCATCGGCAGGCAGACTCTCAATCACTGCGCCACCAGGGAAGCCCGCAGGACTCCATTTATTATCTGGACCCCATATGCTCCTACTCTAACAAGGGGTCGTGGTACAGCTTTGGGTTGTCAGCTGTCAATGTTAGTTCAGATCCTTTGTCCAAAAATCCTCAAAATGTCTGAGTATTCTCCCTTTTTTCAATAATGGTCATCAATGTAAATGACTTGTTTAGGCATTTTTACTTTTCTTAGCATGAGCTATCATTTTCCCCAAGCCTCCTAGAAGTGTATTCACCCCACATCCCACGGATCTTGCCAGGATTTAAATCCTAAATCCCAGGAGAGTGTTCCCTTATCAATAAATTCTTCCACATCTAACTTTATGTTCCACTTCCTTTGGTCCAGCACTCTCGGCATCCAGTTCTATGTACCAAACTCCCCTCGGTCTTTGAATCCCTGCATCAACCATTCATTGATGTGGATCCTATAGGAGGACACGTGACCTTGGCTGAAGCAGTTCCCTGCCACAGAAGTCACTGCCATGAGGGAAGCAGCTGAGTGCTATCAGCATCTGTTATTCCCAGCAGCTGGGGAGTGGGTGCATTAGCCCTGAAAAGGGGACCTGGGTGGAGCACTATAATATCCGCTAAAGCCAGTAAAGAAGTATTATTTCACAGAGATGTGCCCAGGACTGTGCTAGAGCCCCCAGGGTTATATAGCCCAGCTCTCAAGAACCTCATAAACTATATCAGTATTTTTAAAATCTGTATATTGTCTGTTTCTACCTACTAGAGCATCAGCTCTAAGAGGGCAGGAGCTATGTTTCGTTTACCACTGTTTCCCCAGGGTCTAGAGCTTGATTCATAGTTGAATGAATCTTAATTAGAGGCTTGAGATATGAAGAAGTAGGAAGTGGCTGTCTTAAGCAGAATAAGAGTGGCAAGCATCCAGAGAAGGGGAGGTGGAGCTCAGCGTGGGCATGAAGCCCTCATCTGGAGCCATGGCAAGAGACACAAAGACAGAGCATTCTCTAGTCAAGGTGAGACTGCATCAAAGTACAAGCATTCCTTATGTGGGTTTTATTCCTGCAGCCTGCGGTCTTCAGCCCAGTCTCTCTGGAGGCATATTGAATTTCCCAAGCATCCAAATGGTTTGGGGGAAGACTTCACGTTCCACATGAGGGGCATTGTGGAATATCAGAGGGAGAGTCAGAAGACCTGCATTTTAATTCAAACTTAGCTATTAACTAGCTGTGTGGCCTGGGGAATTCTAAGGCTCTCTCAGTATCCTCATCCGCAGAGCAGGAGCGATAGTACAATACTACTTTCCACAGCTGTCTTGAGCACCAAGAGAACTAATGTACATGAAGCAGCCTACTCCTCCCAGTTTTTCAGCGTAAGGGGAGGCTCCTCCTGGGAGGACTGGGGATGAGAGACAGAGGAGACAGAGGCTGGGCAAACTCCAGGCTCTAGTTGTGCACAGAGACTGCCCATAGACCTTCTCCCTCCCTAGCTTCCACTCATGCACAGACAGACATTAGCTGCTGTTCAGTAACTGAGATAATTGGTTTTAAAGTCTTTTCCTTATCTTTGCCCCTGACAGGCAGAAGCTGTGTAGCAGCAGTGCACCTATGCAGACAGAGGGAGTGGTAACCAGAGATAAGGTGTCCCCACCATGGCCTACACTCAGTCCCTGGCCCAAGTCAAGGACCGGCTTCAGATCCACAGCATCCTGGCCCGGCAGTGCCTGGCCAGAGTATCTGGGTGTGTTTGTGCTCACAGTAGGCAGGGTAATTGGGGGAAGGAAAGAGGGGAGGTGGGCAAAAGTTTCTGGCTCCTCCTAGCATCCTTATCTCTTCCTCCTGGTGTCCCGCTTCAACTCTCCATCATTTCTCTTTTTCCCCGCTCTTGTCCCTTTTATCCCTCTCCTACTCCCTCATTTTTATGCCTGTCCCTTTCCATCTCTTATCCTCCTCCCCTTTCTTTACTCTTTCTCTGCTTCTCCCATTTTTTCCCCTTCCCTCTTTCTGCTTTTTCTTGCTGATCTCTCAAGTCCATTCATCTCTTTTGGCCACTCCCCTCACCTTCCCAGTCTCTCTCTCCTGTTGGTCCACCAGGCTCCTTATTCTTGGTTCCCTCTTCCTCATCTTCCTTCTCTCTACCAGCTCCTCATACAGGGGACTTTGGCCCAGGCTGTCACCAGTGGAGGAACCAAAGGCAACTTCTTCATCATGTTTCTGGCTAGCTCTCTGGGTGTTAGGCTAGCCATCTACATCAGTGGTAATGTCTCAGGTAAGGAGGGTGAGGTCTGGTCATCAGACGGGGTAGGATTGTGTACTTGAGTATGGTAATTGTGAAAAGGCAGATCCTTTGGTGACTCATAGATATTATCTCCTTGAGCTTGACCAGTGATCTGGACTGAGATATGCCTTTGGCCCAGTCCAGTCCCTTCCCTTTCTGTATCTTGCCATCCCGCTTCTTCACATTAATCCTCCACTCACATAGATGGAGATCTATGGCAAAGCATCAAGGGTGAGTACTCTCCTCTTCTGTCCCCCACCTAAGCCCTTGGGGGTTCACCTTTGCTCAGGACCTCACCTGCTCGTCCCCCAGGCACACATTGCGTCAAGTGCTGTAGTGGAAAGAGCAGACAGACCCAGGTTCAAACTTGGCTTCACTGTTTGACCTTGACAAGTTGCTTAACCTCCTTGAGCCTCAACTTCCTAATCTATATGATGGGAAGAGTAACATTTGTCTTCTTAAGAGTTGTGGGGAGAAGTAGCAGTGTTACCTGGTGACAGTGCCTGGCAGTGACACAATGGATATTGGTTTTCTTTTCTTGATCCTTGAAGGGGCCCACCTGAATCCAGTCTTCTCCCTGGTCATGTGCCTCCTGGGATGCCTCCCCTGGGCCAAGTTTCCCATTTACTCCTTGGTGCAGTTGCTATCTGCTTTCTGTGCCTCTGGAGCATAGGTGTATGCTCTCTATCATGGTAACAGAGAGAACAGGGTTGGGGACACCTGTGTGTGGGCAAGGGTGCCTTAGAGCAGTTTTGAATGAGCAAAGGTGACCCTGCAGATGCCCTACAGAACTATACAGGTGGGAACCTGACAGTGACTGGTCCCAAGGAGACAGCCTCCATCTTTGTCACCTACCCTGCCCCCTATCTGTCCCTGAGCAATGGCTTCCTGGATCAGGTAGGCATGAGGGGGTGATTTGGGAAAGCCACAACCTTTGCCCTTGTCCCCCGGGACCTCAGCCTATTGTTCAGGCTCTGGGTGGGATGTGGGGTTGCATTTATGTTTGCACCTCACCTTCCCCAGCTGCCTGTGTTGGACAAAGTCAGATGACGTGGGGTGGTAGCCTGGAGTGCTTGGGTGAGATAGGGCAGATGGAGCACCTGACAGCTGATGGGAGCCCCTCTGCCTCTGTCCACTCCAAGGTTCTGGGCACCTGGATGCTGATTGTGGGGATCTTAGCCATCCTGGACACACGGAACAAGGGAGTGCCTGCGAGTGTGGAGCCTGTGGTAGTGGGGTTGCTGATTCTGGCCATCAGGCTATCCATGGGTGCCAGCTGTGGGTTCCCAATCAACCCTGCCTGGGACCTCGACCCACGGCTTTTCACCTACGTGGCTGGCTGGGGCCCTGAAGTCTTCAGGTGAGAGACGGCCTGCCCTGGTGCTGTCCTTCCACTCATCCCTCTGCTAAAGGCTCTAAGCCTTGGTCCCCAGATCTTCCTTTTAAATAGTTCTCTTGGCCTCTTAGGACAGTGAACCTCCTCTAAGCCCAAGTTCTCCCTTTCTCTTTTGTCCCCTGCCTCCCCCTCCACTCTTTTCATTGAAACAGTGACATTTAGAGGTTGTGTTCTTGGGCACATCACATTACCTGTTTGGACATTAGTAATCTCATCAACAAAACACAGATATTCAGATAATTCCCTAAGGCAAGAGGCTGGACCAAGCTCTCCTGGAGTCTCCTCTTTAAGTGCTATGCTCTGGTGCCAAGACACCTTCTTTCTGGTGTCTATCACCCCAGGAACTGCTTTAGGGAGTTCTCTTACTACTACCGCCAGTCCTTCAGAGGGAAGCCTAAGGGACTCACCCTGATATCGCCCTTCTGATCTTCTCTTGTAGCGCTGGCAATGGCTGGTGGTAGGCCCTCTAGGGAGGGCCACACTTAGCACAGCCACACACTAGTGGCTGGTGGCTCTGCACCATCCTGAACACTCAGAGCCAGCTCAGGATTTAGAGTGTGCCCAACCTGAAGCCTCAGACTCGGAAAGTCCTGCCGCAACTCAGGTGCAGGAGAGTAAGCTGTGATTCTGACATGACAGTCCTCACCTCCCTCATGGACACTGAAGAGGGCCAGAGAGCGATGCCTGGTGACAAGATGTTTGTTCTCTTTATTAGTACACCAGGCCCTGGGCAGCTTCTCCGTTTACTCATCTAGGCATCGCTTCCTCCTAAACTGGGGAGGATGCCTGGACAGGGAGAATTGAAGAGGATCAGGTAAGGGACCTAGGCTTTTCATCGCCTCCTGCCCCAGGCAGGTTTTCGGACCCTGGACTTCCAGGAACGCAGTTCCTCAAAGTAGCCGCCAGAGGGTGCGCACCCTGGAACCCGGATTGGGAAGGCTGCGGGAATCCGCAGGATCGTGGGGGCTGACCATCTAGTGCGGGGCATAACCCAGGGGACTTCCTCCAAAGCTTGGTCCCCACTGCCTGACTCCTTGCTCTCGTAACCTCAGCGCCGCCCGCCTTTCCGCTCACTGGGGCGCCTCGCAGAGATTCAGCACCCCGCAGATAGTAATTAGGGGTACGGGGAGCCGCCTCCACCAAGGGGGCGTGGTGGGGGGAAAAAGGGAGGGCCGCCGGAGGAACACAGGCATGCAAGCGCCTGGAGACTGGGAGAGCAAGCGGGAGAAACTGACGCACTGACCCAATACCTAGACATTCCGGGCTGTGTCATTGAAGGAGAGGGTGAACAGTGAGATGAGCCAGGGCGAGGAGAGAAGGCGAAGGAACAGAGGGAATGAGCGTAGGGGTAAAGAAAGCTGGTGCGGAGGAAAATTCTCGTCGTTCACCGCTCCCCTAAGTCTCTCACACATTAGCAGATAAACAGCGTTCTTCTGTTTCCTTTTTTTCCAAAAAAAAAAAAAATCTCAGCGCTATCTCGCCTCCAGACTTTTTTTTTTTTTTTTTTTTTTTGACCGGGGATGGATCGGAGAGTGGTTGGGACGGGGATAGCGGCCTCACACTGCGGAGGAGCATCAGAGGGGTTAAGAACCTCCCCCTGCCCCGCACAAAGATGGCGGCTCCCGCCTTCCCTCTCCCTCATCCCTCCCCAAAACCCCCTCCCGCCCCCCGCCCTCTCCCGCCACCTCCGTCACTTCCGCCCCGCCGTGGCCGAAACTGACACAAAGTAGCGGGCCGAGGCCCTGGGGGGAGAGGGGCTGCAGCTGGGGGGGCGGGAGCCCGCGGGGAGCTGAGCCGAGCGCCCCCCGCCCCAGCCCCCGGCATGGGCAGGACGTGGCCGCCGGGGCGGGCGCCGAGCGCTGAGCGCTGAGGTGAGGTTTGGCAAGGCGGGGGTAGCAGCCCAGGAGCGCGGGGCCGGGAGGGCAGGGGGAGATGCTGCTGCGGACGCGGACTCGGGACTGGAGGGGCCGGGGCGGGGGGTGTGGGCAGGGGAGGACAGGGGACAGGGAGTCGGAGCTGCGGTGAGACGGAGGAGGGGGAGTGGATGATTGGAGAGAAGATGGTGTTGGGTGCCTAAGGGTGGGGGAGATTCGGGAGGCCGTCCGCAGGATGGGAGGGTGGGGTGCTGAAGGGGCGCGTGGAGACCAGCAAAGGGGCGCGGGAGTGTGGAGGAGAAGCTTATGGAGCAGCGGAGAGGGGAGAACCGGCCAGAGTCGTGGGGGTGAGGGGAGTACCTGGGGTCCGAGGGTTTGGGTGCCTGGAGAAGGGAGTTTGGGGGTGGTAGGCGTTGTCTCTGTAAAGTGGAGGTCTCTGTGCATGAGGAAGACCAAGGGTGCAAGGCGAGGTGCTAGCTCTGGGAGTCCAGAGCTGGGGGAGAGTCCTGGGTTCTGTCCTTGGCCATGGAAAGTGGCCAGGCGTTGGTGGCAAGGGAGCCGGGGGTCTTCGATTCCATTCTCTTCTGTTTCCCTGACCTGCCCATAAATATCCCTGCCAGCTTCCTCTAAAAGAAGGGGTCAGGCTTCCTGGGTTTGGGCTGGAGGGGAGCAGGGGCCAGGCCTAGAGGAGGAGCCGTTTTCCTCCATGGAGCATTGCCTTCTTCCCAGAGCTGGCTATTTTTATCCCAAATGTGGCTGCAGAGGGGGCTGGGGCAGGGTGACGGGGCAGAGCCACGTGGCTAATGGGCCTGGGCTCAGAAAACCCAGGCTGTGTGAGACTGGGAAGGAGAAGTGAGAGAGGGTCCCTGTTCCCAGGTCTCACCCCTCCCTTTCCTTCCCTATTATGGCACCCCAGAGGGGATGAAGTCTGGGGCCAGCCAGCTTTCAGTCTCCCCAGGGTCTTAGAGGTAAAACAACTTTCCTGGTAGGTGTCCAGACTCCTGACAGCCTGTGCGGCTCCTTCATTAACTCTTTCTTTCATAGGAGTCAAACCCAGATCTTCAGGCTGATAGTGTTTTTTGATTGCCTCCCTCCCTGAGGGTGGGGCTGGCTGTGGAACTTGTGATGCCCACCCTTGCATCCTCTCTTTTACCCTCTCCATGCCCCACCCTCCTATGACTCAGACCCTAGACTGGGTGGAGACCCTGGCTGGGGGCCCTGTAGGAAGGCTTGGCATCTCGAAAACGTGGATGAGGTTTTTCTTCTTCCCTTGGTTGCCAGGGTTGGGGAGGGTCAGAGAGGAAAAGGACTTCTGGCTCTAGGTATATGCCTGACTGGGGTTCAGGAAGGGAGTCCGGCTTAGTGAACGAAGAATTGGTGTGGGTGACAGGGCCTTGGCCATAGTGTGTAATTATAGAGGCTGGGCAGACAGACAATTAGTATCTCTTAGGGTTGACAGGCTGGCAGGGTGTTCCCAGGAGGCTGGAGACAGGGGAACCAAGGGGTAGGAAGGCTTTCCACCCAGACAAAGAAAGAGGAGGTGGACAAGAGGACCCAGGACCTGGCTGGCAGCTTCCTTTGAGCTAAGCTGGGATGAGGCTCTGTGACCCTGTCTTATAGGCCAGGGCTTTTACCTTTTTGGGGGAAAGGAAGGACATGGGGAGATAGAAAGAAGCAGAGGTCCATCTGACTGATGCTCCCTGAGCTTTCACCCAGTGCCAGACTGACTGGACTAGGCTTGGGGTGAGAGAGAGAGAGATAGGGATGACTCCCCAGCAGGGTTGAAAAGACCCCTTTGCTGGCCCAGAAGGGCGGCTAACCCAGACTGAGAGGAAGTGGTTTGGGGACTGTGTGCAGGAAGTGAAGGCCAGGCCTCTAAAGTGAGCTCCCCTGGAGGAGGTGATAATGGAAGCCCCAGTAATGGGGGGGGATGGGAAGATTATAAGCTTTTTGAGAAGGGTGGGGCCTGCCCACCCTGTTTCCTGATGCTCTGCCAGGTGTTTCCTGGCTCATGTTCCCTCAACCCCACCCTTTAGTGGAAATTCTGCTTTCCAGTAAACACAGGCACCCACTCACTGCCACCAGGAGGGCACATGGGGCATCCGTTGTCCCTGGGATGGGTACCTTGAGAGCTGTGCCCCTCCTGTCAATATCTGGCCTCTTCTCTTTGCCCCCTTCCTTTCCCAGCAGGTCTTGGTTTTTGTAAACGGTCAGTCACCTCATGTTATCCAAGGCAGAGGCATTGGGGGAGGTGGTGGGGAAGTTCCCTCTTCTTTCTCAGGGACCTATCAGGGCAGTAAGAGCAGAGTGTTGCTGTGGAGTTAGTGGGGAAGGCTGGGAGAGGGGCAAGGTCAGAACTGGGGAAGAAAACCCTCAGGAGGAGTCTGAAAAGGGGAATGAAGGTTACCCTCAGTTTCCTGACCTCACGCATATGTCACGTTCCTGCAGGGTCTCCCATGGGATTGCTGGGACCTTGCTGGGTGAGATGGCACTGTGTGCAAAAAAGCGCCCCCCAGGTAAGACAGGCAGGAGGCGGGGTCGGGGGGAATCCCTGGGACCATCAAGAGTGGGTGTTATTATGACTCAGGGAGCAAAGGAAGAGGGACGACAGGTAATGAGCCTGAAGGAGGGTAGATTGCAGCCCCTATCCATCCTGGGGGGAGCCTTAGGAAACCGAATTCTTCGCCTTGATTCCCTAAGCTGGGTTCTTCCCCAGGAGGGTGCTGAGTGCCTGCCCCTCACCCCCAAACACATAGACTCTTATCTTGGGGCACCTGGAGCTCCTATTCTGTGGTCTGGGGAGCCCGGGGTGTTGTGTTCCCACCATCTCCTCTCCGTCCTCGCACTTCGTTTCCTCCCCTCATTTTCCCATCCAAGGCCAGGTCCTCCTTGTTTTCCTGAGGGCGGGGGTGGGGGTGGGAGGCGGTGGGATGAAAGCGGTTGCCCCGGACAACGCTGGCAGTCCCCTCACCCGCATTGGCCGGGCCGAGGGAGGCGGGACTCCGTGCTGGCTTTCGCCTACGCGGCGCGCTGGCAGGCTGCTACCCCTGCAGTCGGGGGAGCGGGCGGGGGCGGAGCCCAGGGAGTGCAAGTCGTGTCCGGGGCCACTCAGAGCGCGCTGGCGTCCGCGGGGGACATCGGGGGCGGCGGTGGCGCAGCAGAGCGCGCGGCGTCGCTGGGTGCGGGCGGCCGGGAGGATGGCCGGGGCTGCAGGTGGGGCGCGCACCACACGGCCGGGGCTCCACTCTGAGCTGCCGCAGCTCCGGTGCCTCCGTGGGGGGCCGCCCCATCGGAGCCGCTGAGGCCGAGGACAGACCGACAGACAGCCCGCCCTTCCCCCGCTCAAACTGGGATCATGACGGTCCCCAAGGAGATGCCCGAGAAGTGGGCCCGGGCCGGGGCTCCCCCCTCCTGGAGCCGAAAGAAGCCCTCTTGGGGGACAGGTAACAGGAGGCAGCGACTGGCAGCTCTCCCGAGCCCGTACTTTACCCCCTTCCTCCCTCACATTCGCTTGTCCCCGGCCTCCCCCAGCCTTCCCTTGTCCTCTGCAGACTCAGAGATCCTGACTCCGAAGCGTTTGGTCCCTGCCTCTCCTTTTGCATGGTCTTTGGTGACTGCACAGTCACTCAGCCTGAGGGGTCCCCTCTGGGGAAGTTTTGGGAGTAAAGTGACCACGCAGGGAAGGAGCACTCTGGGTAGGCAGAGGATGCTTCGGTCTGAGGTTTTTGTTACTGCAGTGTGCTCTGCAGGGGGCTTGGGAGGGGGTGAGGGAAGGCGTCTGGAATGCTGCCTTTGGCTCCAGGACCGGTTTGCATTATGTTTACTGCCTAACCAGGGTACCCCCTTTTTCAGCCTATGGTCCTGACCACGGGAGATGGGCTGGAGAACACTTCCTAGGACAGCCCCATATTCTGGGACCTGAACTTGGTGCCTGCAGTCCCAGATCTGTGGGTGTTCAGAATAGGTGTAGTTCATTTGTCACTCAGTGACAGATGTGTTTTTTAGGGGAGATATGTGCAGATGGCACAAGAAAGGTTACGGTTAGAGAGCAACTGCTTCAACTACATCCCATTCCTCCCTCTTTCATTTCTGTCTCAGTCTGCATGACCCATATCCCTGACCAGCCCCCTTCAGCTCATACTGAAGATGAGCTTTGAAATAAGATGATGTCATTGTGGGCCAGTCAGAAGCCGCTGCTGATGACATGTGACAAGCAGAGGCTTCTGTAGGGGGGACTGCACGTGGGGCTGGGATGCTGCCGCAGAGCAGTTCCAGGGCACAGTGACCCTCTGTCTTGCCACCCACCCCACCCACTAGGTTAGGAGGAGGGCAGTACCGTGGCTTGATCTGCAGGGGTTTCCAGGAGAAGGAAGCTTAGTGTCTTCAGCTACTGTTCCTCTGGAGATACCCAATGCCGTTAATTCCTACAGCATTAATTAAAGGGATGGGGGAGAGAAACTGAGTGTCCCCCCAGTGGAAGACCTTGATGGTTGTTGGTGAGGAAAGGAGAAGGCATCTTGTCCTGAGAATGTAATACCTGCAGAGCCCAGTGGTCAGGCTGGTGGTGAGAGGTGGACTAGAGGGAAGAATTTAGTGGCACCTCAGGTGTGGTGCTAACTCCTTAAAAACTGTGTGCTGTGGAAGGAACCAAGGCCCCTCAGTGGAAAACCCATAGAGTGGGGTGGGCCTGACAAGGTGTTGGGCCAGACCTCAGTTTGCTCCTGACTGCAGCATCATTCTGTTGCAGAAGAAGAAAGGAGGGCGCGGGCCAATGACCGAGAATACAATGAGAGATTCCAGTATGCGGTAAGTGGCTCTAGACCACCTGTGCTCTCCTCCTGAGTCAGAAAGGGGAAAGGTGCATCCCCTCTGTCCTAGGCTGGGACACAGGGCTGACTGCTGGGAGAGTGCTTGAGGGAGGGGAAGGCAGCCTCCTCGCCACTCTCCACCTGCTGTGTGCTGAATTTTTCATGGCCTTCACCTGTCAGTGAAGCAGGATACATTGACCCCGTGAGACTCTCTTCCCTCCTCCTCTTTCGCCCTCCCACACCTCTGGTCACTGGCTTTTGGGGACAGAGGTTTGGAAAGTGTGGACGGAGGAGGCAGCCTCAGTCTCATTCTGGGTTGGGGTTGGAGGCTGCCTCATTATCTTTTCTCCCACTGCCACAGAGTAACTGCATCAAGACCTCCAAGTACAATATTCTCACCTTCCTGCCTGTCAACCTCTTTGAGCAGTTCCAGGAAGTTGCCAATACCTACTTCCTGTTCCTTCTCATTCTGCAGGTAAGTGACCTGCGGTAAACCCTTTGCAACTCACAAAGCGATATAAAGTCAAGGAAGAGAAAGGTCTAGGGGAAACGAGGACGGGGCCTCGGAAGCATGCCTTTTCTTTCCTTTTTTCAGTTGATCCCACAGATCTCCTCCCTCTCCTGGTTCACCACCATTGTGCCTTTGGTTCTTGTCCTCACAATCACAGCTGTTAAAGACGCCACTGATGACTATGTGAGTTGTTTTCATTCTTATACCTTTTTCCCACCCCCCACCCCACAACTCACTTTCCTCCACCCAGCACAATTCCTCAGTGACCTTGCCATTCCTTACCTGGTCCAGCTAGATCCATGATATCTTGGCCAAGAGTAGGGAGGGGGAGTCAGGGAGAGAGTAGACCTGTGAATAGGTGTAGACAAGGTAGTACCCAGCATGCTCTGCATTCCACTGATCATCTAAGTCCCTCGGAGCGGGAGAAGGTGTCTTACCTTTCTTTCCTCTCTTCAGTTCCGCCACAAGAGTGATAACCAGGTGAATAACCGTCAGTCTCAGGTGCTGATCAATGGAATGTGAGTGCCTGTTGGAGACTGAGGGCCTTGGGGAAGAAAGGGGTCCCCTGGGAACTTTTCTAGCTACTGACAGCCTCTTCTCTATCTTCTCATTGCCTCAGCCTCCAGCAAGAGCAGTGGATGAATGTCTGTGTTGGTGATATTATCAAGCTAGAAAATAACCAGTTTGTGGCGGTAAGGGACAAGGTGCCCCTCTAGGCCTACAGTGCTCTCCCTTTACTTTGGCAGAAAGGGATGAGTCTTTCCTGATTGACTATTGCCTCTTAAACACATATGGGAGGAAACTTTCTTGAGTGGGAAGCTTCCGTGTCATATTAATATGCCTCCTTTCTAGCCATTCACATGCTTGGGACTAAGCAAACCAAGAGTGCTTAGTGGAAGGAGGGATCATCAAAGAGTCCATTGCGGGTGGAGGATTGGGTCTTTGGCCTTCTCACTAGGTTTTCTTTCTAGGCGGATCTCCTCCTCCTTTCCAGCAGTGAGCCCCATGGGCTGTGTTACATAGAGACAGCAGAACTCGATGGGTAAGTCACATGCTCAGTGTCACACATCTCCTTCTGCCTCCTTTGGGGTAACAAGCTTGTTTTTGAAAGAGGTTCCCAGGTCTGGGCTCTGTACCTTTTGGAAAATTGATGGGTAAGAAAGCCTTTGGGGTGTGTAAAACAATTACCTACCTAGTAATGCCTGCAGGGGGTGGGGTGGTGGTCCTCCATGGTCAGGTGCCCCCAGGTAGAGTCTAGAGGAAGGGAAGGGAACCAGGCCTCAGGGACACTGTCCTTCCAGAGAGACCAACATGAAAGTACGGCAGGCGATTCCAGTCACCTCGGAATTGGGAGACATCAGTAAGCTTGCCAAGTTTGATGGTGAGTAATTTTGGAGAAGCAGCTTTCAGGTAGAGGAGGTGGGTGGGTTTGGGGGTTTAAATTGTGCCTTCTCTTTTTGGCTTCTTGTTCCTGTGATTATGCACCGCTCTGGACTTTTTTGGGTTTTTGGGGGGCAGGGGTGTCAGGAATGCCAGGTGGCTATCCTTTACTTGTGAATTGATGGTCATTTCAAGAGATCCTCATGGCTGATAGCTCCCTCCTTGCTGTACATGTTGAAATTCAACTTATTCTTATTTCTTATTTGTCTCAGAATAATGATATATGCTCCTTCTAACAAGACAAACTATGTAGCATGTATAAGAAAAAGTCGTCCTTCCCTCCAATTCTAGTCTCCTTAGGTAGTCACGTTAACTGGCAGTTTAGTGTGTATTCATCCACACTTCTCTCTGTTTATACAGACACGTGAGCATAAATCAATGGGATCATACTGTACTAAAATCTCTGCAACCGCCTTTCTGTACTTATTAAATTCATCATAAGTATCTTATCACGTCACTATGTAAAGAAATTTACATCATTCTTTTTCATAACCCTATAATGTTTCATAGAATTGATGTATTGTAATTTGTTCAGCTCTCCCCTGACTATTCAGTTGTTTCCAGTCTTTTGCTCTTCAAATAATGCTTCAATAAAATTGTTTTGAGCTATGCTATCATTTTTTTTTTTTTAAATTTGGCTGTGTTGGGTCTTCGTTGCTGCACGCAGGCTTTCTCTAGTTGCAGTGAGGGGGAGCTACTCTTCGTTGCGGTGCACGAGCTTCTCATTGGGGTGGGTTCTCTTGTTGTAGAGCCCAGGCGCATGGGCTTCAGTAGTTGTGGCACGTGGGCTCAGTAGTTGTGGCACGCAGGCTCAGTAGTTGTGGCGCATGGGCTTAGTTGCCCTGTGGCATGTGGGATCTTCCTGGACCAGGACTCGAACCCGTGTCCCCTGCATTGGCAGGCGGATTCTTAACCACTGCGCCACCAGGGAAGCCCTATGCTATCATTTCTGTAGAATGAGTCCCCAAAGTGGGATTACTGGGTCTGAGGATATGTGTACTTTTAATAGGAGTTCATGCTGCTTCATTCCTTTCCCAGAAAGTTGCATCAGTTCACACTCCCACCAGCAGTGTGTGATGGGCTCACATCCTAACACCATCTCCCTGCAGCTTCTTTTTCTGTGTTGCTGTCTTGGGGTTAAGCTACAGACTGCACCTTGAACGGGGGCACTCTTGTCTTCTGTTCAGGTGAAGTGATCTGCGAACCTCCCAACAATAAGCTGGACAAATTCAGCGGAACCCTCTACTGGAAGGAGAACAAGTTCCCCCTGAGCAACCAGAACATGCTGCTGCGGGGCTGCGTGCTGCGAAACACCGAATGGTGCTTCGGGCTGGTCATCTTCGCAGGTGAGCCTCCTAGGGCCCAAAGAAAGAAGGGCGAGAGTTGCTGCCTTCACCCTCCCGCAGGAATGTGGGAGGAGGCTGAGTGGGCCCCGGATCCAAGCTTCTCATCCAGCCAGTGTCTCTCTTCCACCCTGATGTCCTGTAGTCTGCGGACCGGGGCAGAAGCCCAGAGGCAGATTTGTTATTTGGCTTTCCCAGCCCTTTGCATTCCTTTCTAGGTCCTGACACTAAGTTGATGCAGAACAGCGGCAGGACAAAATTCAAGAGAACAAGTATTGATCGCCTAATGAATACACTGGTGCTCTGGGTAAGGCTTCCCACATGTGGTTCCTGCCTCTGCCCTTCTGGTTCTCCCTGGGCGGGTCCCTTTACTTCCATCTCTCCTCTCTGGTCAGTAGTCAGCCTTCAGGTTTTAGCTTTTAAAGCCACTGGCAGGTCAACCACTCAAAGACTGTTTATTTCAGGCTCTTTTTGGACTTGGAAGATGTTATTTAAAAAACCTTAGGAACGTGCATGAATCAACAACTTAAAGAAAGTTAAAACAGATCTTCCCTTCTCTGGATTCCAGTTATGATGGTGACTTAGTGTAGCATGTGACCTTCTGTTTGCTTTGCCAGGGACAAGGAGGCCTTCATGGGGATGGAGAGCGAATTAAAAGAAAAATTTCCATTTGGAGGATGGATAGCAGGGTCTTTTCCCCTGACTTCCAAGAGCAAAGGATCCCAAAGGAAAAGTTTCTGTTTTAGTTTTTGGCAATTCCTGAATCCTTCTCTTGTTTGACTAGAAATTTGAGCTCCTTGTTGGGCTCTCCTCCCCTTCTTGTGCTCCCACTGCCTGCTGCCTGCCCCCCACACGCCAGCTTGCAAAAACTGGGGTCAGCCTCTGGTGAGACAGTTTCCTCCCTGGCCTTGAAGGGTTTGCAGAAACCCCAGTCTGAGAGGCTGTCAGGCCAAGGCTTGCATCGCCCCCTGGTAGTCCTTGGGCATCCGGATGGTTCCTGCTTTGCTTCAGAGCATCCAGAGTGGAGGCAGCTTTGAAGATAGATGTCTGAAATCACGCAATGGTCTCAATTTTTTTCTTTTAAACCACCAAAACTTTCTTATGATCCTTCTTCAAGGACTCCAAGCTTTATAAGTTTTTTGACTATTAAGAAATCTACATTTATGAAGACATAATTTGTGTCTTGGTTAAAAGACTTTTTTTGGCAATCTGTATAAGATAATGAACATTACAGAAACTTGGCATTTTAAAAAAAAATATTTATTTATTTATTTATGGCTGCACTGGGTCTTAGCTATCGCATGTGGGACCTTTAGTTGCAACATGAGAACTCTTAGTTGTGGCATGTGGGATCTAGTTCCCTGACCAGGGATTTAACCCAGGCCCCCTGCGATGGGAGCGTGGAGCCTTAGCCACTGGACCACCAGGCAAGTCCCGGCATTTTCGTTAGCTTGTAGAGGCTTAGCTCCGGTAAATGGGTGATTTCTAATAAGCTGCTTTGGTATGTTGAAAGTAGCTCACCCCCACTCTTACCATCTTTGAGGTCTCCCAAATGTTTTAGGATGTCAGAGTGGGAGCTACACAACCGTTTCAGCCCTCCCAGCATACAGTTGAGAAAACATCGTGAGAGAAGGTCCACGTGATGGTCAGTGACAGACTAGAACCTGTCACCAGTTCTGGGTGCTTCCCACTAGAGCATGCCACCATTTTAAAGATGCCTGAGGGGCTTCCCTGGTGGCGCAGTCGTTGAGAATCCACCTGCCAATGCAGGGGACACGGGTTAGAGCCCTGGTCCGGGAAGATCTCACATGCCACGGAGCAGCTAACCCCGCGAGCCACAACTACTGAGTCTGCGTGCCGCAGCTACTGAAGCCCACATGCCTAGAGCCCATCCTCCTCAACAAGAGAAGCCACCGCAATGAGAAGCCTGTGCACCACAATGAAGAGTAGCTCCTGCTCGCCACAAATAGAGAAAGCCTGTGCGCAGCAACGAAGACCCAACGCAGCCAAAAATAAATAAATAATAAATAAATTTATAAAAAAAAAGAAGAAAAGATGCCTGAGCTTTCAAGGGCTCAGGGTACCAGTGGTGACCTTCAGAGATGCACTTGGTTTTGAGGGCTTCCTAAGTGGCAGCTTAGCCTCTGCTTCTCATTCCTCTGCAGATTTTTGGATTTCTGGTCTGCATGGGGGTGATCCTAGCCATTGGCAATGCCATCTGGGAGCACGAGGTTGGGACACGCTTCCAGGTATACCTGCCCTGGGATGAGGCGGTGGACAGTGCCTTCTTCTCTGGCTTCCTCTCCTTCTGGTCCTACATCATCATCCTCAACACCGTCGTGCCCATATCGCTCTATGTCAGGTATGTGCTCTCTCTGCTCTGGGGTCTCTCCAGGGAGCTCAGGTGGTCCCTTGGCAAACTTCTGTCTTCTGTGAAGATGAAATTCTCGAGAGGGAACTTGGGGTCCTCTCCTTCCTGTGCTGTGAACATTTTATATTATCTGTTTATCTTTTTGTACAAAGCAAACTTCACCACAGTTTCCTGGTGCTTTGGATTGTATTAGAATAAAAACCATATTGATCTATTCAGCACATATTTATCGCATGCAGACTTTGTGCAAAGAAGCATGCTAGGTGCTGTGGCACATACAAAGATGTATTAAGAATGGATTTCCTTCCCTCCAGGAGCTTCAGTCTAGTAGAGGGAGATAAATCTGAACGTGTTATAAAACAAAATGGGAACTAGTGCTGTAACACGTTCAGTGTTACCCTTATGTGTAAAGCAAGGGGACACAGTTGATGTGTAATACAGCCTCTTCCTTCAAAAGCAGCAAACTGGTAGGGGAGGAGAGATGCAAACAGTGTAAGACACCGAGCTACCATGCATCCCACTGAGATACCACAGAGGCACAAAGTGCCATGAGGGTTGGAAGAGCATTACTCCCCACATAGTTAATCAGAGAGGACATCTTTGAAGAGGTTGCTGGTGAACTGAGCTTTGAATGGTGGCAGGGATGGGTGAAGGTGGAGCCTGGAGGAGAGGGCTGGAAACAAAGGCACAGAGATAGGGACCTTGGAATGGTTGGTCCTGGGACAGTTTGGCAGGATCATGGACTGTGAGTGGGGGGCTGTGAGACAGAGAGCTGGAAACATAAGCTTGTTCCCTATTGTGGAGGGTCCTGAATCTTTGCCAGTGGACTTTTACTTAGTAAACCATTAAAAGATTCTTAAAAAAAATCTAAAGAATGCTTTAGGAAGTGTTGGCTGGCAGTGGCGTACAGCATGAATAGGAGTAAGAGGACATCTAGGATGTTTGCAGGAAAGAGAATGTTAACAGGGAGAATGAACAGGAAGGGCGGGGGGAGGCAGGAGGAAGAAAGAATGGCAAGAAGAGAGAAGATATTTTTGTATTTAGTGCCTTGCACTTGAGATAAGAGAACCTATGACTTTTTTTAATTTATCAAATTGTATACTTTATTATTATTATTATTTTGGCTGCGTGGCTTGTGAGATCCTAGTTCCCTGACCAGGGATCAAACCCAGGCCCTCGGCAGTGAAAGCGCAGAGTCCTAACCACTGGACTGCCAGGGAACTCCCAACCTGTAACATTTTTGAGGAAATGCTTTGCAGAGATGCTCAGATCTCTTCCCATATGTTGTTTTTTGTTCACATAGATTCCCCAAATAGTCCTCAGATCTCCCCACTAGCCACTGAGTCCTAGTGCTGTTGACAGTGAGTAGGAGATAAGGAGTTTCTGTGCTGAGGGTGGACAGTGGACAGGGGCTTTTGAGCATTAGGAGGAGACTCAGAAGGCTTGTGGTTTAGTCCTGCCTACTCAGTAGCCACGTGACCTCAGGCAAATCCACAGTCCCTTAGGGCCTTGGTTTTCTCATGTAAAATGGGAAGAAGTTTCATTCTCTTAATAGGGACATTTTGATATAAGATACAAAATTGGAAAATACATTTTAAAAATTAAATTACTGTACGAATAACGGGTGGTAGCATGTTCATCATTATCATCACAACTCTGGTATTTCATTACTATTTAAAGGTTTTCTTGTTTCCAATCTGATTTTTTTTTTTTCCCACCTTTGGACTTTGCTGACTTTGTTTTGTATCCAAGTTCACTCTAAGCCTATGGTAGCTGCCTGAGAAAGTTTCTAAGTGTCATCAGGTCACAGTGTGTGTTTGCGGGGAGGGTGGAGAGGGGACGCGTGATCAGCAGAGTGGGGCAAAGGCCATTCAGGCATTTCCAGCCAGCTCATTTTTTGTGTGGTAGCTGGATCCTGACAGCAGCCTCAGTCAGGTTGGAAGCAGGGTTCCAGATGTGGCCCCATTGCTTGGCTGTGCTGGACCTAAACATGGGGCCCTTTCTGAGATGCTAACAGTCCAAATCCCAAGGGTAATGCCTAGTAGAGGATGATGCGAATACACCTTGGGATGCCGAGAGCCCCGTGCCGTTGTAAATTGGTGTTATTCCCCAGACTCTTGAGGCCCCGCTTCCTTCTGGAGTCAGCATCTCAGTCTGCCCCGCCTTCTTCCCAAACACCCCAGGTCAGGTTGTGCAGCCCAGAGCCGGGCGGAAGGAGCTCGCTCGCCTGTGTTCGGGCAGCAAGGCACGGGCTCCAGGGCCTCCTCAGTTTCCTCTCCCTGCAGGGACGTCTGTGTGCCTGTGGCACGCACAGCACCCTCATTATTTCTTTTTCTCTTTTTTTTTTCTCTTCCTTCCCTCTTGCACTTTCTCTTGTTTTCTCTGCATGGTTTCTGTATTATTAGTCCTGAGGTAAGAACTGGTCGAGTGCCTTGTCCGCAGTCCCCTCTCCTCTGCCTGTGCCGTCTGTCCCGCCTGCCCAGGCCCTTTGCACCTTTTTTTGTCTGGAGAGCGTCAGAGGGTCAGGGTCGGGGACCCCCACCTTTAGGCTCTCCTTGCCCTCCCCCACCCAGGTGTCCTTGCCCAGGTATCCACTCCGTTCTTGTTTCTCCCCAGGCGGAGGGCCTGCAGCAAAGGCCCGTGGGGGTGGGGTCCCCCTCCCCTTCCTGCCCCCAGCCTCACCTCCTATACCCTGTGCAGCGTGGAGGTCATCCGCCTGGGCCACAGCTACTTCATCAACTGGGACAAGAAGATGTTCTGCATGAAGAAGCGGACGCCCGCGGAGGCCCGCACCACCACCCTGAACGAGGAGCTGGGCCAGGTGGAGTACATCTTCTCCGACAAGACAGGCACCCTCACCCAGAACATCATGGTCTTCAACAAGTGCTCCATCAACGGCCGCAGCTACGGTATGGCTGCGCCTCCAGGGACCGAGGGCTTGCGTCTCGCCTGAAGGATTGTGCTACTGGGGCTCCCACAATTGTCTTGATGTTTGGGTTTTACTTCTTTCCTACCTGGGTCTGTGGGACTTGAGAGGGTCTGCTCTGCGCCCCGGGTCAGGAGGTAGACACTGACAGTGCTTCCCCTCTCCTCTGCTGGTGCCCTCACCCCGATCCCAGCTCCAGGCAGTAGGGGAGATCCTAGGCTGTTTGAAGAGAAGCCCAAGACACTGGCCCCTGGGCACCCCAGCCAGGTTGGACCTTGTCAGCCCTGCTGGAGTCTAGACTCTCCCTGTGTTGCTGTCCAGGGCCCTTGTGAGTCTCTGGAATGTGACCATGGCCTTTCCAGTGTGGCCCCACTGCAGTGGCCTTGTGGCTGAGCTGCTGGGATGGCTTGGGCAGGGTGTGTGGGGTCTTTTATGCAGAGTAAGCCCCTCTCCTAACTGATTTCTCTACTAACCCAGGCCCCATGGCCAGTGTGTGAGGCTTTGTCTGTTGTGCAGGCCTAAAGAGTGAAAGGCACCTGAAGGGGCCTGGGAGGCCTGGGGACATGGGTGTGGAATTGGAGCTGTCCTGGGGGGGGAGCTGGAGCGTGGATGGGGATGGAGAGCAGTGGGTGTCATGGCTTTCAGTCCTGGGGTTCTGAGGATCCAGGGTGCCTGCGCCTCCTGTCCTTTGAGTCAGCCGTGTGAATCTGGGTGACATTCACTCAGCGACTAGGGTTGCGGGTTCCAGATGCCTGTGGGGGTCCTGTGCTGGAGGCTTCTCCCCCTGCTCTGCGAGATCTCGAGCTCTGACGGTGCTCCTCCTTCTGTCCTGGCTGTGTGTAGGTGACGTGTTCGATGTCCTGGGCCACAAAGCTGAATTGGGAGAGGTAAGGTCCAGACCCCATGGTGATTGTCTGTGCCAGTTAAACACAGGGTGCCTGGGCAGGGTTGGTGTGGTTAGGAGTGATGTGTTGTCTGGTCAGGAAATGGAAGCTGCTTGGAGGAAATGGTGTTCTAAGGAAGAGCTGGTAGCAGAAGTGGGAATCTTGAGGTCCACAGTGGACAGGATCTTGGTGAGGACAGCTCCTCCCTGGGAGGCAGCCTCGTGACCCACCCTTTCCTGATCACACTCTTACCTGCTGCAGAGGCCTGAACCCGTCAACTTCTCCTTCAATCCTCTGGCTGACAAGAAGTTCTTATTTTGGGACCCTACCCTCTTGGAGGCTGTCAAAATGGGGGACCCACACACGCACGAGTTCTTCCGCCTCCTTTCCCTGTGTCACACCGTCATGTCAGAAGAAAAGAACGAAGGTGAGGGACTTCGCTGGAGGTCTAGTGGTTAAGCCTCCACGCTTCTAATGCAGGGGGCACGGGTTTGAGCCCTGGTCAGGGAACTAAGATCCCACATGCCGCATAGCACAGCCTTAAAAAAAAAAAAGAGAAACGACGGTGAGCCGAGGAGCTGGCTTGTGTTCTCCCCCACCTGACTTGTGCCTGTGGGCTCGGGCTGTAATCGGCAGTGTGGCTGCCTGGGGCTTCCTGGGCGGGACACTCGGCTGAGAATAGGGCCACTGACACCACCTGTGTTCTTCCTCCCCACCCAGGGGAGCTGTACTACAAAGCCCAGTCGCCAGACGAGGGGGCTCTGGTCACCGCAGCCAGGAACTTTGGTTTCGTATTCCGCTCTCGTACACCCAAGACCATCACTGTCCACGAGATGGGCACAGCCATCACCTACCAGCTGCTGGCCATCCTGGACTTTAACAACATCCGCAAACGGATGTCAGTCATAGGTGAGGCCGGGACGGGGGTGCAGGGGGCATTCAGGGGCAGCATGCAGACCCGGGATGGGTGAGGTGTACTGGGTGACCCTTGATGTTTTAAGGTTGGGGGGCTTCACCTGCCTGAATTCTTCTGGGACGTTCTCCCCCCCGCCCCACCCATAGTGCGGAATCCAGAGGGGAAGATCCGACTGTACTGCAAAGGGGCTGACACCATCTTGCTGGACAGACTCCACCACTCCACCCAAGAGCTCCTCAACACCACCACTGACCACCTGAATGTAGGCATGAGGAAGGGAGCCCTGTGGTTCTGCTACTCGCGGGGTGGTGGGAGGGGCTGGGGGCTGACTCTCCTGACTCCTTCTCCAGGAGTACGCAGGCGAAGGGCTGAGGACCCTGGTCCTGGCCTACAAGGATCTGGATGAAGAGTACTACGAGGAGTGGGCCGAGAGACGGCTCCAGGCCAGCCTGGCCCAGGACAGCCGGGAGGACCGGCTGGCCAGCGTCTACGAGGAGGTTGAGAGCGACATGATGGTATGGGCCGCAGAACGGGCCAAGGGTGGGCAAGGAGGGGTCGTGCCTGGACTCTCGTCCCAGGGACCCTTGTGGTATTTTCAGCTGCTGGGCGCCACGGCCATTGAGGATAAGCTTCAGCAAGGGGTTCCAGAGACCATCGCCCTCCTGACGCTGGCCAACATCAAGATCTGGGTGCTGACAGGGGACAAGCAAGGTGAGAACCAGCAGGGCCGAGGAGATTGCATCTGGACACAGCCCCGTGGAGTCCTTGCATGAGCCTGGGGCATGGGGCTGGCAAGTGCGCTGACCTTGTCAGGGGCCTGTCCAGAGCTCCTGCAATCTCTCTTGGTAGAGACGGCCGTGAACATTGGCTATTCCTGCAAGATGCTGACAGACGACATGACGGAGGTGTTCATCGTCACTGGCCACACAGTCCTGGAAGTGCGGGAGGAGCTCAGGTAAAAAGGCCCGAGGCAGGTAGATGCTCTGCAGTGTACCTGGGGGTCGGGCAGAGGTTCCCCGATTGGGCTTGAATCCCTGCTCCTGTCCTGGCAGACCACGGTCTCGTTTCCCCCTTCACAGGAAAGCCCGGGAGAAGATGATGGACTCGTCCCGCACTGTAGGCAACGGCTTCACCTACCAGGAGAAGCTTTCTTCTTCCAAGCTCACTTCTGTCCTGGAAGCCGTGGCTGGGGAGTACGCCCTGGTCATCAACGGGCACAGCCTGGTAAGTGTCGTCATCCTTCGCTTGGGCAGTATCTTTTCAGAGAGCGGCTCTTAGATCTTACCATGTTCCCATTTCCCTGGACTTCGGGGGGCTGCGGTCTTACAGGGACTTGGACGAGCTGACCCCCAGGTCTCTCCTGGAGAAGACTGGGGCTCTCTCAGCACTCTGTGTTCCCAGGCCCATGCGTTAGAGGCAGACATGGAGCTGGAGTTTCTGGAGACAGCCTGTGCCTGCAAAGCTGTCATCTGCTGCCGGGTGACCCCCTTGCAGAAGGCACAAGTGGTGGAACTGGTTAAGAAGTACAAGAAGGCTGTGACCCTTGCCATCGGGGATGGAGCCAACGATGTCAGCATGATCAAAAGTGAGTGGACTGCGTAGGTGTGGCGGCTGGGCCCTGGGGAAGGGAGAGGGGCCCAGGGAGGAATGATGGGGGAGGGGGCCAAAATGTGATATGAGTCTGAAGGGTGTGGCTGTCTTCATCCTCTTGTCATCTCTTGTCTCTGCAGCGGCTCACATTGGTGTGGGCATCAGTGGGCAGGAAGGGATCCAGGCTGTCCTGGCCTCCGATTACTCCTTCTCCCAGTTCAAGTTCCTGCAACGCCTCCTGCTGGTGCATGGGCGCTGGTCCTACCTGCGCATGTGCAAGTTCCTCTGCTATTTCTTTTACAAGAACTTCGCTTTCACCATGGTCCACTTCTGGTTTGGCTTCTTCTGCGGCTTCTCGGCCCAGGTAGTGAGCTCCCCACTGCCCTAACTTACCAATCCTTAAGCTCCTTAAGGACAGAGATTGTATCTGTCCTGTTCATTACTTGGTCCCCTTAGGGCCTAGCTGTTGTCTGATGCATGCATTTTAAAAAATGCTTGTTGAAGAAGTGGAGAGGGAGTTCCAGAAAATTCCTTAGGCCTCCACATATGCCACGTCGGCTGTCTTCCTCCGCCTGATTTGTAGTGAAGAAAGACTGCATGTTCACTCCTCTCTCACTCCCTGTTCTCCTTCCAGACCGTCTATGACCAGTATTTCATCACCCTTTATAACATCGTGTATACCTCCCTCCCAGTCCTGGCTATGGGGGTCTTCGATCAGGTATGGGGGAGTTGGATGACCGGGCGGGCTGGGGAGAAAGACGTTGCTGCAAGGGAGCCATCTGTTAGTGGTAGGCTTGTGCCCACTGCCTGTGGTCCCTGGGAAGGCAGTTCTGTGAGCTGGTCAGGGTGTGGGTGGTTCTCCCTCTCAGCCACACCTGACCTGTAACTCCCCTGGGTTGCTGAACAAAAGATGGATTGGGGGCAGCTGGCTTGAGGTCGGATATAGCTGTCGAATTTAGAAAAAAAGAGGCAGGGGGACAGAGTCTGCCCTTGGCCTTCCTGAGTTAAAGCGGCAGCTTCTGAGACTTCCTGTGCCGCTGGCCCTCCGCACACAGGATGTCCCGGAGCAGCGGAGCATGGAGTACCCTAAGCTGTACGAGCCAGGCCAGCTGAACCTCCTCTTCAACAAGCGGGAATTTTTCATCTGCATCGCCCAGGGCATCTACACATCTGTGCTCATGTTCTTCATCCCCTATGGGGCGTTTGCTGAGGCCACCCGCGATGATGGCACCCAGCTGGCTGACTACCAGTCCTTTGCGGTCACCGTGGCCACTTCGCTGGTCATCGTGGTCAGTGTGCAGGTAGGAGGCAGTCCGGGAACTGGTCTCCCCTCTGGAAGGGGTGGGGCTCCTGTCCTTGGGGTGCACTGGGCACTGCAGTTCTGTTCCTGGGAGGGGGGACTGGGTTTGTCGGAGGGGGGTGTTCCTTCTGCCTGTAACAACTGCTTTTCGCAGATTGGGCTGGATACCGGCTACTGGACGGCCATCAACCACTTCTTCATCTGGGGCAGCCTGGCGGTTTACTTTGCTATCCTCTTTGCCATGCACAGCAATGGGCTCTTCGACATGTTTCCAAACCAATTCCGGTTTGTGGGTGAGTGCCTGTGGCTTCCTCTTGCATCAGTGAGGAATCACAGTTGTTCTGGGACTAATGGGGTAGGTAGGCATTTATTCAACACTCTTTATGTGCCAGGTATTCTGCAGGGTGCTGTCGGGATCTAGTTGTATCCGACCCAGGCCCTGCCCTCAGAGGGTCTCCGTATCCATGAAAATGAAGAACAGCCCTGCCAGGCTACAAGGGAGGCGAAGGGGTGGCAGGCTTCATGGTCAGCAGAATGACTGTTTGTGGGGTGGTCAGGGATAGTCCCCCAGAAGAGGCTGCTGAGGGTGTAGCCAGGACTGGGGAGCCAGATTCCAAGCCAGAGAGCTGGAAGTGTGAAAAGGCTGTTTATTTCCAGGAAATAGAGAGTGCTCCAGCTAGGGTGGGACAAGAATACCCTTTGAGAAGCAGTGGAAGAGAGGCTAGAAAGGCAGGCCATTTGAGGAATCAGAATGCCAGGCTGTCAGGTGTGCACTTGACTTGCCAGGAGCCTCTCTCTTTTTTTTTTTTTTTTTTTTTTTTGAGGAGAGAGTGGGGAATGGCATCAAGGTACAAGGGTCATCAGCAAAGCCCTTTTGAGGAAGAGACATTGGCACAGAGAAATCTGAATAAAGGGAAGGAGTGAGCCATGTGCCTCTCTGGACAGGAAGAGCCCAGGAAGAGGAAACAGTGATATGGAAGCCTTAGGTGAGGGCTTGTGGGGAGGTCGTCAGCAGCAGAGGAGCTGGGGGAGTGAAGGAAACGAGGTTGGAAGGTATGGCTGAGGCAGGAGGGCAGAGATGAGAATCAGTCCAGGTAATTAGAGCCTTTATAGGTCAAAGTAAGAACTTTGAATTTTAATCTAAATGTGATAGGAAGCCATCATCAGAGGGTTTTGAGCAGGGAAATGTCATAAACTGATTTATGTTTCTACAGGATCACTCTTACTGTTTTGTGGATAATAAAAGGTAGAGGGCAAAGGTAGTAACGGGGAGACCAGCTAGGAGGCTATAGCAGTAACCCAGGTGACAATGATGGTGGCTTGGAGTCGAGTGAAAAGTGGTGGAATCCCATAGATATTTTGGAAATGGAGCCAGCAGATTGGATGGGGGCCTGAGATGGTGGGGGTAGGAACCAGGGTGACTCCGGGGCTTTTACTTGGAGCAGCTTAGTGGGTGGTGGCATCTCCTGGGCTGGGGAAGACGTGGAGCAGATTGGGGTGGAGGAAACAGTAGTTCACTTTCAGCCGTGCGAAACCGAGGTGCCCGTTAGATGTTCAACAGAGATGTCAGGTTAAGGCAGTTAAAGAAGTAGGTCTGGGGACTTCCCTGGCGGTCCAGTGGTTATCATTTGGCGCTTGCACTGTAGGGGGTGCGGGTTCGATCCCTGGTTGGGGAACTAAGATCCTGCATGTCGTGCAGCCAAAAAAAGAAAAAAAAAAAAGACAAAACAAAACAGGTCTGAAGTTGTTTTCAGCGTTTGGAGCTAGAGTCCAAGTTGGAGATAAATATTTGGAGAGCAGAGAGAAAGAGAAGCCAGGGATGACTTAGGTTTTGAGACTGGGGAAGTAGGGCTGCCAGAAAAAGAAATGGGGAACTCAGCGGGGCGGTGCTGCCCTTGCACCTGCTTTGTGACTCCCAAGGCCCCGACTCCTCTGTTCCCAGGTAATGCCCAGAACACCCTGGCCCAGCCCACCGTGTGGCTGACCATCGTGCTCACCACAGTCGTCTGCATCATGCCTGTGGTCGCCTTTCGGTTCCTCAGGCTGAACCTGAAGCCGGATCTCTCAGACACGGTGAGGGGCCAGCCTGTCTGCTTTGGGGGATGGAGCTCGTGTGTCCGAAAGCCCTTGGGCTTAAATACGCCTGTGGCTGCAGTTTCTGTTAAGTGCGTGGACGGTTGTCCTCTGCCCTTCCTGGGTTCAGACAGCCTGGGCAGTCTTGGAGGTGCCCGTGCCTGCCCCATCCCAGGCGCTCTGGGGCCCTTCCCTGAGGTGGTGTCTGACGCTGCCACGCTGACGGAGGCTCCTTCCCTCGTGCCTCCCCCGCCAGGTCCGCTACACCCAGCTGGTGAGGAAGAAGCAGAAGGCCCAGCACCGCTGCATGAGGCGGGTGGGTCGCACGGGTTCCCGGCGCTCCGGCTACGCCTTCTCCCACCAGGAGGGCTTCGGGGAGCTCATCATGTCTGGCAAAAACATGCGGCTCAGCTCCCTGGCGCTCTCTGGCTTCACCACCCGCTCCAGCTCCAGCTGGATTGAGAGCCTGCGCAGGAAGAAGAGTGACAGCGCCAGCAGCCCCAGCGGAGGGGCCGACAAGCCCCTCAAGGGGTGACGGCTGGGACGGGGACGCCCCTTGCCGGTGATCAGCTCACGCAGGGCTGGCCGGCCACCAAGAGGACAGCATCTCGGAACTGCGGGTCCTCATTCCTTGCCCAGGTCCTCATCCCATCTCCCCTGGTAGACTCTGTCCTGCTGGTCCCACTAGGAGTGGCTGGGGCATCCCCAGCCCAGGGCCCTCCTAGCAGTTGGGAGGGTGGAGGGGGCCGGCCCCAAGGGCAGAGCGGGGGCTGACCAGCCCCAGTGGGGGATCAGATGTGGAACCAAAAACAGAAGAAAAAACTGTGAGAGATTGTGTCTGCCCCTGCCCTGCCTGGGAGCCCACAGGGAGACTGTAATCTCTGTATTTTTTTACTCCCACTCCCCAGAGGGGCCCCAGAGCCCCTGTTCCTGAATTACACAAGAATGTATCATGCCGGGAAGCCAGAGACCTGCTGGGGCCCTCGGCCCCTCACAGTGTGTGTGTCTCTCCTTGATGTGTGTTTGTGTCCAGTTTGGTTTTGTCTTTTTTATTTGGCAAGTGGAGGAGGCCTTTATATGACTTTTATGTTGTGATTGGTGTCTTAACTCTCCTGGGGAAGAGGAGGCTGGATAGATGTGGAGTGGTTGGGGAGGGGCTGGTGCCCACGAGGGACAGAGAGGCTGACCAGGGAGGGAGGTGCCTGTCAGCCACAGGGTGCGGGGAGAGTATACAGGGGTCTGCTCCTGTCTCTTTCCTCACCTTGAGAGTGAAGTGCTACCCCTCCTCAGCACACGCAACTCCTGGATTCCGTAAGTCCTGCTGGTATTGGGCTGGAGCCTAGGAAAGTGGCCCTGTCCTTCTCAGTGACCTAAAGCTGGGTGTGAAATGTAGTCCTAAGAACATTTTCTTTCATTTTAAATTTAGACCCAAGTTCACTGGCAGAGTCTGTTCTGACTTTCCTTCTCCCTCCTCGTTGGTGTTTTCCTGCGCCTGAGGTGGCCCAAAAGGGGAAGCTGAGCACCATGAGATGAGGCTAAAGGGGAGCTGACCTCTACTTCTCCCTCTGGTAAAAGAGGTCCCACCCGCTCCAGGCCCAGCACGCGGCAGGATCTGGTGGGGTCCCTGTACTGAGTGGTGGGGAAAAGCAGAGGAGGCGGCTGCCCCGTGCCTGGCTTGGTCTGGACAGCAGAGCTTCGGCTTGCCTGTCCTTCCTCTCCATCATCTACACCTAGGAAGCACTTCCCCAAATTACGTGTCTCCCAAGTTAGTTGCTACCAAACCAGTCTTGGGCAGAACTTTTTCCTTGTCTTTGGTAGTGGAGAGGGTTACTCAGGAATGGTGTGGAGCTGGGAGTGGGCTATGTGGGAGTCCCAAGGGAACTGGAGGTGGGCTGCGTTGAGGCAGGGTGGGGTGGGCAGGGGATGGGGGCGGGGAAAGCTTGACAGGGAAATTCTTTAGGCCACATGGTTTACAAACCCAACATCATGTCTGTTTGTGTGTCTCTCAAGGTGAGAGTCTGATTTTTATACCAAAGAGGAAATGATTTTTTTTCATATTTTGTTTGTCTATATTATATAAATATAAATATATAAATATATATATATATATAAATATATATATATATATATACAGTTATATATATATTATTTTTTTGGTTCTCTCTCGTTTTTTAGGGAGGGAGGAAAGTACCAAGTTGCAATGAGCTGTAATTAAGGAACATTCTGTATAACTTATGACACATTTCTATACTTGCAAAAATTATATCATTTTATGGATATAAGAGAAAAATGCCTTTTTATAAAATTCCAGTTTCTGAGAAGTGTGTAATTTGTCTCTTTTCTGATGTTTAACCAAGACTGGTGGTAAAAGTAAAGACAGATAGAAACTGTTTCTTAAATGGAACTGAGTGGGTAGATGTGGGCCGAAGTGGAGAAAACAGAATCTGACTGGTGCGGAAGAGCACCTCCTCTGTTTGCACACCTTCTGGTATCTGAGTTTCAGCTGGAAGATGGGGCAGTGGGCGGGACTGAGGTGGATCACAGGGACTTTGTGTTCTGCTGATGGCTGGGTGCTTAGGACCTTGACTGTTTGCTTTTCCAAACACAAGCCAAACTCTCATTCCTAACACATACCAGATAGGTGGGTATGTGTAGGCGAAAGGACCGAGTAAATATTTTGATTTTTTTTTTTTTAACCAGCACCCCATGCCTTTTCCATTAGCACAGGCCTCATAGCCTCCCATCTTCCTGGCTTTTCACAGAAGTAAATATTAAGGAGCCTAAGTAGGGACTTCCCTGGTTGTCTACTGGTTGAGGTTCCACATTTCCACCGCAGGGATCCCTGGTCAGGGAACTAAGATCCCGAATGCTGTGCAGCTAAAAAAAAAAAAAAAAGAAGACGACTGCAGGAAGTGAAGGTTAGCAGATAAGGCGTGCTTCTGTCTTTCAGGGAGGGAGAGGGGTGAGGAAGCCAGGCGAGCTCGTGTCCTAGGAGAGCTCAGGGCTAGTGCTGGACTCTGATGCCCGTCAACTCCCCAACCCCACCCTTTCGTCTTCTGACCTAGCCAGTCCTTCCTGTCATGGTGGCAGTCCTTCCTCTTCCTCCCTTTCTTCCTTCTCAAAAATAGAGATTTCTGGGAATTGCCTGGTGGTCCAGTGGTTAGGCCTCCTCGGTCCCACTGCAGGGGGCCCCGGTTCAATCCCTGGTCAGGGAACTAAGATCCCGCATGCCTCGCAGCGTGGCCAAAATAAATAAGTAAATAAAAATAAATAAAATACAAAAATCTGTGGTGCTTAAGCTTGGAGGAAAGACATGGAGATAAGATCAGTTTTCCTCCTGAGGAATAGTCCAGGGCAGGGATAGCCCACAGACCCCTGGGACACAAACTGGTACCTGCCTCCACACAGGAAGAACCTGTTCAGGTGCAAATCAGCCTTTTACCAGGCTCTTTCTGGAACCCTGAGCCTCAGGCAGCAAGTGGCATCTGGCCTCAATCCCCGCCCCCCCCCAGGACAGAGAAACAGGCCTTAATTCCTTGAGGCTGGTTAGGCTCCTAACTTTCCTGTTCCTGCCACTTTTCACCCCGAACAAAGGGCTGCTGCCCCTCACCCTGTGACAGATCCTCAGGGTCCCCACTCCCCACCCCACCCACTGCTGACCTACAAGAGAGGTTTCAGAGGACAGGCGAAGTGCTATTCAAGCATGGAGAGAATGTTCTCCCCCACTTCTCAAAAGAGCAGCTGAGGTCTCCCCTCACCCAGGATCCCATTATACATATCTGAGGGGCAGGGCCTGAGTTATTTTTACTCTCATTGCCTCTTGCAGATATCTTTTCTTCCATCTCTAGATAAGCATGAGTTGGAGTCTCCTGCCGCTCAGATAACCCATTTGTTCTTGGTTTCCTACTTCCTTCCCTGCACTCACTGGGGACTTGGGCACCTGGCTTACTGTCTTCTGGTCGCTTCTCCCACCATTACCCTAGTGCCTTCTCAGAATGCGTGTCTGAGAAACCTGTGTGATGCCCTCGCTTTGTTCTCCTTCGGCCTCCTCATTTCTGAGGGCATTCACCTCCTCTCCACAAAACAGTGCACTCCCATGGGCGCCCCACTGCCATCGGGAGTGTCACCTCCGAAAGGTCATAATCCAGCATTTGTCTGTATCCTTCAGCTCCTTTGCCTTTCACCTATACTCCCAATACATACTACAAACTCCTCCTCTTCTGGTCGTGCAGCTCCTTTGTGTGGGCTCTTACTTGCTTCGCATCCCAGCCCATAGCCTGTGGTCTGGTATTAACCACTCTGCCCAGCAACACTCTGACGCTGGGTCAACATGCCGTGTCCCGTGGTGAGCTGTCCATGTGAAAGGAGGAAGCTGCGTGACCATGTTGAGTAGAGGAGCTGGGAACTCACAGACTCCCGCCTCAGCAGGCCTGTCACACAGTGAGGCAATGCTGTGCATCTCTGCTCACTTTCATTCTGCTTCCCCTCAATGACAATTCCTAACTTTCTTCTCTTTCCTCAACTCCATCCCACCATCTCCCACCCTACCTTATGCAGATGGTTCTACCTCCTACTTCACAGAGGAAAATAACTTCAGCTTTCCCCATCACCTACAAGTTTCACTCTGCAGAGGCAGGGCACGCAGCCTCCATCCTCTCACCTTCCATGATCCCCCATCCATTGTCCTCTTTCTTTTTTCTTTCTTTTTTTTTTATGCGGTACGCGGGCCTCTCACTGTTGTGGCTTTTCCCGTTGTGGAGCACTGACTCTGGACGCGCAGGCTCAGCAGCCATGGCTCACAGGCCCAGCCGCTCCGCCGCATGTGGGATCTTCCCGGACCGGGGTACGAACCCGCGTCCCCTGCATCGGCAGGTGGACTCTCAACCACTGCGCCACCAGGGAAGCCCCATTGTCCTCTTTATCTTACCTTCCCCTTCCTCGCTCATGGTTCTTCCCTTTACCAAATAAGGATGCTCAGCTTTTCCCGCACTTGCCCCCTCCTCAGCCCTGTAAACTACTTAGTGATCTGTGTCCTCGTCCTCTTCCTGCACTCCCTACCATCCGGCTCCTCCTTGACCCACCCCTCAAATGCTCTCACCAAAATCGCCTTTGACTTTCATGCGGCCAAGTCCCAGGTTTGATCTTACTTGCAATCTCTTAGTATTTGACTTTGTTGACTTATTTCCTTGAAACTCTGTCATCCATTGGTTTAAAAACAAAACAAAAAAGCAAACAAACAAAACCCCTCTTGGTTTCACTCCTGCCTCTCTGGCTGCTCCTTCTCAGTCTCCTTTCCTGGAGCTCCTTCCTCTGCTCTTCCCCCCCCCCCCCACCAGCACCATTTTGGCTCTGAGCTCTTCTGGTCAGTACAAGGTCCTTGAATGGCCCCATCCAAACCCATGGTTTACATAAGATTTGGGAGCGTCACCATGGTTCACCTCCAGATTGGACTTCTCCCTGCTCACCCCCATGCTCTAGGGCCTGTATTCAACTATCCACTGGACTTTTCTCCTTGGATGACCCACGAGCACCTCACATTCAACATGCCTCCAAATGAACATTATTCCCCCCAGCACCTGCTCCTCCTCCAGCACCCTCTATTTCAGGGAATGACACGCTATCTTCCCAGTTACCAAAGCCAGACTTGCAAGTCCTGGAGAAAACCCCATACATCTGCTCTGGTGCCACCATGTCCCAAGTTGTATATTTCATCTTCCTTGATGTTTAGCATGAAATGAATTAAACTGCAATGTCCTGAGCCACTATTTCCCAGTGATTGTGACCAACCAGATTTCTGGCCCTAAGCAGGAGCCATATAGGTTGAGATTCAAAACACAAAGACATTTTTTTCTGCCAGAAAAGCTGGATAACACTACATTCCTTGGTGCTGCAGGAGATAATGGGGAGAGACCAGAGGACTCAGGTCAGATAGGCAGGCGGCTGCAGCATCGCACCATTGCCACCCCCTCGAGTACAAAGGAGGGAGTCACTGATAAAGACCCAGGACTATGAACTGTGGTCTCTATTCAGGAGGGATCGGTTATTAGGAGATTCCCTGCACCAGCAGCTGGAGCTCTAGGGCTGAAGGGAGGAGCTGAATTCTCCCTCTTATCTCTTCTCAGAACAAAGTTGGGAAAACTGCACCCAAGTTTTTACATTGTGTGGGGGAGAGTTTGGGTTTGGAGGGCTACCTCCTAAGGTCAGGGATGGGGGAGGCGATGGTGGCTCTGACTGTGTCCAGTTGAAGACACGGTGTCTGTTCCAGGCTTCAATGCAGACGCTCCTGTGGGGCTTCATCCTCCTATCTTGAAGAACTGTGTCCTGACCCCAGTTAGAGACGCTGACCTCCTCTCTGACTCTCCCAAGACTTCTGGAAGCTTTCCAGTTCTCAGTGAGTTGCTGGGAGCTGTGCTGCAGAGGCAGCAGCTGAGCCAGCCAGGGAGGGTGTAGCCTTCATCTTGCCGAGTTGCAACAGGGAAGTCTTTCCCAAACATTTCCTAGGGCCTAGAATCCACCTAAAAAAAAAAAAAAAAAAAAAGTTATGGGGTGTTTTCCCTTAAGAAACGAGTGTTTCTGGACAAGAGCATGAGATTCCCCCTTGGCTAGGACAGCTTGAGGCTTGGAGTCTGTCTGGGCAGGAGGTTCCGCAGAAATTTTCCATCTGCCCATGACTGCAGGATCCAGAGGCCCCAGCCACCCTGGGAAAGGTCAGTTCTCTGTGCCCCAGGGCCCAGCAGGGACTAGTGTGGGTCCAAGTACCAGGAAGAGGCGGAGAGGGTGCCCAGGTTTACTCAGGGCCTGCAGGAGGTGAGGAGAGGGTACGGGTGGAAGGAAAAGACCATGTCCTGCCCCACTCCCTGCGCAAGCCACTCTCTTGGGCCTGCTCGCCTCGTGGAGCCAGCCCGGGTGCCTCTCTTCCCTGGTCACCCTTGGATGTGGTGCTTCTGCGGGAAACGCCCGGGTGGAGGGCTGCTGTGACAGGGCTCCAGGTTAGGAACCTGCTCCCATCTCGGGGAGAGATGCTGGAGGCATCTCACAGAGCGTGCCTCTGTTCCTCATAGCGGCCCCAGGCTCCCCTGCCAGCACAGCGGGAGGAAGGCCAGCGGTTGCCCCTGCAGGGAAAGTGGCTTCTCCAACGCCTGGTGACCCTCGGGGCCAGAGCGGGGCGGGGGGAAACGCGAGAGCTTGGATCTTGGGGTTGGGTCTTTACTGGAGAGGAAGGGACGACTCCTAGAAACCCAGCAAGTCTGATCTGTGGGAGTGTTAATCCAAATTTTAGAAACAGACTGACTGAAATAAACAGGTGTTTATTTGGGGCTTG